CTTTCCATGGACAGGAAAACGGCAGCGTATAGGAACTTTTTATTCTTTGTATTAGTACTTTTAGAGTATATGAGTGAGCATTTTGAATTTGTATTTTGACCTTCACTATTTTTGCAGTGTCCCTGATACAACCTGTTATTCACTCTAAACTAAGAAACTTGGTTATAATTTGAAGTTTGGGCGTCACTAGCTGTCTAATCTTGTCTACTATTTATGGCTGTCTAGAAAATATAACACCACATTTTAGGTTAAAGGGAGTAATGCAAAATAAGTCATGGTGAAATTTATTAAGATCTTGGTAAAAAATCATCACGTTGAAACAAACGAAAGCATAAACTCCTGTAGACAAATGACCCTAAAACCTTAGCTGCATCGCATCTCCATCATGTCTAATCTCTATAATATCTTCACTTAGTAAATGCTATGCTGTAATTTTTAAATTGATCATATTACTACAGTTAAATACTTACACAAGTGGAGACAAACCAACAACTTTTTAACCTTTATTTTATCTAAACTACTCTTGTTCTTGTTGAAACAAACTTAGTGAAGTCAAAAAGTAGAATAAGCACTCATAGGGTCCTTACACACACAGCAATCTTCACTACTACAATCTTCTGGTACTTAAGTACTAGAAAGCACAACAAAAAAGTAGCTTTAGGAAAACTTCTTATAAACTTTTATAAAGTCTGAACATTGGATTCGGAAGGCAAATAAAGAAGGAGAATCTAATGCAATATCTATGTGTTGAGTTATAGATCTGGAATGCTAAACAGAAGGCTTAAATATCTGATCTGCATCCAGTCAATATGACAGTGGTATCCCCATTTTCCTGTGTGTTGGAAGGCATTAGACCTTAAGCTTGCATGCAGCTAAGCATTCTATAAAAGTGTGAACGTTCTCTCTCTAATTCTTCTAAAAGAAAGTATCACTATCATTTGTAGTACTTTCTGGTCTTCAGAACTATGTTTTTAATAGCTGGTGCCATTCCATCTTTTAACTCCGTCCTCATGCTTTGCAGTGCTGAACAGCTATGCTGGGTTCCTTCCTTCAGAAGTTTCATTCTGCCCTCTACTGAATTTTTACATAAGTACACTTCTTATATTAATACTACAGAAGGTCTCTACTCTCTGCGATTTCTCCCAACAAGTGTAAATTTGCTGGATCATCATCTATGTTTGTTCCAGATCCCCCTAAAATAACAGGCACCTGTCAAGGGAGGGGAAAAAAACCCTGCCTTTTAAAGTGCTGATTTGATTTTTTTGTCCATTTGTCACTCTAATAGACACGTCTGCAATAAGGAAGTTAGAGATGCTATACTTTTAGACATTAACTAAGCTTAAAAATAGGCATATACATCTATGCTAAAAAGGTTAAAATACCATTTGTCAGTTCAAAGCAGGGATTGTACTCATCTCCTTATTACTTTGCCCTTCTGCACGTTACCTTTCACTTTAAGCTAATGATCAAAATAAGATCTAATTCTCCAGTCTATTCCACTCCTACATAGTAACTTTCCCAAGCAACCCCATTAATAGCCCCATCTGTCCTTGTATCTTCTAATGTATCATTAGTTCATTCCCCTCAATACGCTTGTGCTTTCTGTCAGAGGGTTTTCAACCAAAGGACAACTAACAGGGAGGTGTGGGGTGTGTTTGTGTATGTGGTGGTGCTGTTTACAAAGCAGTGGGAAGTTTCTACTAAATAACTAAAAGGGGCTGCAAAAGGTAACGCACATAAGCAAGCCTCGTGTCAGCAATTTCCTGCATATGGTTTTGAACTCCCTCAGGAAAAAAAAACAAAAAACCAAAAAAACAAACAAACACGGACTAATAAGAGGTTAGATACTAAAACACAACAAAATGAATAAATACACAGATCAGTTTTCTACACTTCACTGAAACATTTTTTGAGAATCTTTTAGGATCTCCCCTCTCTATAGTTGACCGAACTTTTAATTGGCAGATTTCTCACCTCTTTCAACTTTCACTGAGCATCTCGAGAGTTCTGACTCTACATTTCAACACACACCAGAAGGCATTAGAAACATGACTATTAGTTCTGTCTTCAGGGTTCAGATATTTCTTTTATATTATCTTCCATTCTTTTAAGTTCTGCTACCTCCTTTTAGAGTTCAGAGCTGCTGTGCACATCTCTCTTCACTAACAGAGCCATAAATAACAGCCAAAAGGTTGCAGATAAAACTAAACTCCAGCTTTGTCAAGACTTCCTGCTATTCATAATTTGAATTCTAGTAGCCAAGCTCATTTTTTAATTCATAATCTTTCTGGTCACTCAGGACTTTGCTGACATATAAAATTTAGATTATAGTATTTAATTTAAACAGCTCTTGGAGTTATAAACAAAATCCTGAAAGCCCTAATGAAACAACTGGAGACATACTGCAGATACTGTGACGTTCACCAAAACAAATGGTGCTAACCCAAATAAAGTTCAGCCTTTTTGACGAGACCATAGAATAAGAGCTTTGGAATTCAAATGCT